GGGGGGGGGGGGGGGGGGGGGGCTGAGATTCTCGGTTCACGGGGGGGGCTCGCGGAGCGCCCCCGCCGCACCGGGGGCGAGCGCGAGTTGGCAAAGTTTGGCGGCGACGGAGGTGGATTGAAGCCATCGGTACCGGGGAGGTGGTCGGTGTGTATGGCGGGGGGCGACCGGGGCGGGTGGGGGGGTGTCGGCCGGCGCTTACCGTGTGCCGGGGCGCGGAGCAGCGCGGCGAGGAGCGGCAGGAGCAGGGCGGGCGGCGGGCCCATGGCCGGCGGCGGTCGGTCAGCACCGCGGACAGCTCCGCTGCGGGCGCGGCGGCGGCGGCGGCGGCGCCCTGAGCGGCGCCCGCCGATACCGGGGACGGCGGGGCGGCCGTAACGCTCCGAGCGCGGCGCACGCCAATCCCGCCGATGGAGGGGGGGGCTCTCCCCGCCTCTCCCTCACCCCCCCGCCGCCCCGCCGTAGTTCTCCGAGTGCGGCGCACGCCAATCTCGCCGATGGAGGTGGTGGTGGGGGGGCTCTTCCCGCCTCTCCCTCAGCCCCCCCCCCGCCGTAATGCTCCGAGAGCGGCGCTCGCCAATCCCGAGGACAGGGCGGGGGGGCGGCCGTAATGTTCCGAGTGAGGCGCTCGCCAATCTCAGGGACAAGGCAGGGAGCGGGGGGGGGGGGGGGGGGGGGGGAGCCTCTTCACCTCCCCCCGCCGCCGTAACTCTCCGAGCGCGGCGCCCTCCAATCCCACAGTCTGGGAGGGAGGGGGGTGCTCCTCCCTGCCACCCCACCCCCACGCCGTAACTCTCCGAGTGCGGCGCCTCAAAATGCTGGAAGATGAAGGATGGGGGAGGGGGACCTCCTACTCCCCCCCCGCCCGGAATTCTCGACTGGGAGCCACCGAGGGCTGTGGGAATGGTGCTCGGTGCCCACCCCATCATATCCTGCCTCCCCGCCATGCTGCACCCTCCAGGACGCTCATCACAACCCCCCTCAGCTGCTCTTCCCCATCCCTAAATAGCCCAAATTTGGGCTGGGCTAATCATTCCCCCCAAGCAGAGACACTTGGATGCGGGGCAGCCCCCACAGCACAGAGGGGGAACCCTTTTCCTTATGGGAGGGTGCAACACCCCCTCCCCAGCCCCCTGCCTCGAGGACCCGGGGGACAGCCAGCCCTGCGATGGGCAGATGGCATTGGCACCGGCACCAAGCGGCTCCACGCTGGCTGATGGATGGCTCTTGCGGGTGTTAAAAATATGAAAAACCAGCTCTTTGTTTAATAACCCCCCTCCCCATCCCTGCAAAAGCCCAGATGGCTTCGCCTCGCTGGATCCCCCGCAGCCTGGCCAGCCCCGCCGCACACACGGCCCACGCAGCCAGCGCCGGTGCGGGTTTATTTTTAATCCCAGGTCCTGCTTTGCTGACACACATCATTCCTGTCACGGAGAACGGCAAACCACGTGCCACACAGATTGGCATGGGGAGGAAAGGGCAGGGGCCAGGCCCACGGCATGGGCTGTGTGCCGCCAGCCCCACAGCTGCAGTGGGAATGGAACTGGCAGTGATGCCAGGATCCTTCTCATCCCAGGGGTGCTGCTGGCTCTCCCACAAAGCACTTTCAGCTCTAAACCCAAAACTTTGATCCGCCGGTAGCTCCATTAATGTTTAATGCAGCAAAGCCCTGGTAGGACTCGGAAGATGAGCATTTTGAGGCCAAATTGAAGTTTCTAATATTATGATATTCAAATAATTTTAATCCACCCGATGCTTCCCCAGGCACGTACCTGGACTGCTAATGAGGGGCTTCCTTCAGAGGCTGTTGGTTTTGACAAAAAACAAACAATTCTTTGCAGGTGACATCAAAGCATCAGAAATGGTGAGGACTGGGGAGGAAAACGGGGCCGAAAATGGGGGTAAATGTGCCTGGAGCCAGCATGCTGTGGCCGGGCAGGAAGGATGCCATGGTTCCCTCAGCTCCTTGGGGAATGATATTGCTCCCTAATTCTTTTTTAAGTGCTGATTTGTGCTTGATAGAGTATAAGGCCAGCACAGGTGGATGATGGGACTTTGAGAAGCTTCAGCTGCCATTCCAGGATACACCAGGTGCAATGGGTTCAGTGGGTGCAGAGTCCAGTACCTATCAAACCACATTCTGACCTTTGCCAAAGTTCCTCATTCCACATTTCCCCAGCTCCACGTGGATCAGGTGGCTCCTGCAGCCTGTGGCAGTTCCCCAAATCCCCATCTCCCCCTCCTCATGCCATTGCCAGTCTCGAGTTTTTCCATCCATCCACCCAGCCCACACAGGGAATATTTCATTTTTATTGAGCTCTCCTGACCCACACCAGCTGCTTAGGGAAATGGATTTCTTGCTGCCACAAGGGTTGCTTCCAGTTAATATAAACACAGGTGAAGAGAACATGGCAGGGAAGATGGAGGCCCTGGCACAGGGCTGGGGGGACACCACAAAAATTCAGGCAAGATGACGTCATGCATCTGGTTTTTGGGGTCTGGGGGCACAGATTTCCCTGATGCCTGGGATCAGCCCTGGTTGGGTCACCCATGGAATGAGGGGTCCCACAGAGCCATGGGGATGGTCGTCAGCACCACATCCATGGTCTTCCCAGCTCTGTAGCATCATGAGCGAGGCTTTTCCATCCGTTCTATTAACACACCACTAACGGGAGAGGAGTTCATTTTTACCATTTAACGTTTCACGGATAATTAATTATTCCTCATCTTTCCAGTAAAAAAGCAAGAGCAGGTAGAGGGGCTATTCAAAGCGAATAAAGTGAGCTGAAACCTTGGGAAATTGGTGAATTATTTGTAACATCAAAGGCGAGCGAGGATGTGCTGATTTAACAGCGCCCTGCGCGATGCAGAGCCCTGGGCACTGTGGTGGTGCTGAGACTGGGATACACTCATTGCAGCAGTGGTTGTAGGCAACAGGGCAGATGAGGGGCCTGGGAGGGACCCCAACCCTTGCCCATGCTCCCCATCCTCCTCCTCTCACCTCCCCATCTCTGCCAGTTCTGCCTTTGCATGATGCCTGGGTGTCCCCATAACCTGGTGGGGGCCTCCAGCACTTTCCAAATCTTCATTCATCACCAGAGGCAAGTGGCAAAATAAATAATGATATTTAACGTTTTGTAATAACGACAATTAACCAGTAAATAATGCCTTTTACACCACAGAAGCCAGAGTAAATTAATTCCCCTAATTAGCTGTCAGGCAGCACGGGGCAGTGTCAGCAGCGGACAAAGCTGGCAGTCCTTGCCTGCGTTATCCTCCACCCTGAGGCATCACTGAATGTCCCCAAACCCCAAATCAGACCCTAAAATTTTGTGGACTTGCAAAATCCGCCACTGCCAGTGGGACACGGGGCTCTGTGCCACTTCCCGGCAGCTCTGGTGAGCCCTAAATCACCCCTATCTCCTGTTAAAAAACAAAACAACAAAAGATGGGAACAAAATGGTTTATGGCTGTAATAAATCGTGCTGGGGGAAAAAAAAATCTGTTTGCCTGGAAGCAAGCAGGGGGTTTCCCACTGGCACTCAAACAGGAGCATTACCAAGGCCCACATCCCACTGCAACCAGAGCCAGCAGTGACCAGTGGAGAGGGAAAGGGGGATTTATTAGAAGGAATTTTCTATCACATTTATCTCACCCACTTGCTCTGATCAGATGATCTCCCTGTAGTGGTGGGACCAGATGCTGGTGTTGGTGGGGGAATGGGAATGCTTCTGCCTGGCCAGCCTCAAGGGGTGGGAGGGATTTGGGCCCTGTGATCCCATAGGGCTGGAGGGTTGCCATGGCTCCACCACCCGCTGGGCTTGGCTGGACTCTGCCCCGTTCCTCCCCTTGGATCAACTCCTGGCTGCTGGAGGGGACAGGAAGAGGAACAGGGACGAGGACGGACATGGCTGCCCCAGGCCAGCCCCAGAAGGCCACCTACGATGCCATCGTCATCGGGGCTGGCATCCAGGGCTCTTTCACTGCCTACCACCTGGCCCAGCGCCACAGGGACACTCTGCTGCTGGAGCAGGTACAGGTGACCCCATTCTGCCACGTCTCCAGTCCCCGCATGCTGGGGCGGCTGCCTGCAGACCTGGCTGCCCTCTGGCTGCCCTCTGCCATGGCACAGAGTGGAGCTGCTGCAGGCACCACAGCCCCCAGTGCCGGGACCCCCATGTCCCCACTGCCAAGATCCTCATCTCCTGCTGTTTCCTGGTGCCGTGGATGACAGGACAGTCTGTGTCCCCAGGTTCCCACCACAGCACAGCACCAGTGCACGTGGGGATGGTGGGGTTGGGGGTGGGGTGGTGTCTGTAGTCACTCCCATGTCCCCTCTCCCCCACAGTTCATCCTGCCCCACTCGAGGGGCAGCTCGCACGGGCAGAGCCGCATCATCCGCAGCGTCTACCCCGAGGAGTACTACTCCCGCATGATGCCCGACAGCTTCCGCCTCTGGCAGCAGCTGGAGGCTGAGGCTGGCATCCGCCTCTACAGGTGACAGGGACGGGGACGCAGCCCCCATTGGGCACCATCCCCTCCCTGCTGGACTGGGGTCTGTGGCCACTGGGTGGCATGTGGCCGTCCTGGCAGGCAGCTGCCGGCTCTAGGTAATTTATGGGGCTCCATAAAGATAATGTCATTAAGGAAATGAGCTTCCAAGTGATCCTCCAGTGCCAGGGTCAGGGCTGATGGCACTTGCTGTATTTGAGGGGGGAAGCATGATGCCGGTACCCAGACCCTCCTCTTGCATCACCCCACGCACCCAGCCTGTATCTCCCAGCTTCCCACCATGGGATACCCCAGCATGTCTCAAGCATCACTGGTGCCACCGTGCCTCAGTTTCCTCCAGGGGCAAAGCAAGCAGGGGGTCTGCACAGGAAGGGGGAGTAGTGGGAGCTGACTTGACTGGTGGGGTGCAGGCAGACGGGACTGGTGGTGCTGGGGCCGGCGGGAAACGAGGAGCTGGAGGCCTGTCGGCGCAGCCTGGGTGACAGTCAAGTCCTTGACACCACGGCGCTGGCCCGGCACTTCCCTGGCTGCCGACTCCAGGCTGGCCAGGTGGCCGTGTTGGACAGCACCGGCGGGGTGCTCTTCGCTGACCGGGCACTGAGGGCGGTGCAGGTGAGTGCTGCCAAAGGGATGGGATGGGATATGTGGGACAGGATGGGCTGGGGGTCCCTTGGCTCCATCCCTGCAGCCACCTCCTGTTACCATTCCCACTCAGGAGGTCTTTCGCCGACACGGGGGCACCGTGCGGGATGGGGAGAAGGTGCTGCGCATTGAACCTGGGGCCATGGTCACTGTCACCACCACAGGTGGGGTGTACCAAGCCCCCCGGCTCATCATCACGGCCGGAGCCTGGACAGGTCCCCTCGTGGAACCCCTGGGTCTCCGCCTGCCGCTGCAGGTAAGGGCCGGTGGCAGGGTGGGGTGGCACAGACACAGCCAGAGCTAATGCAGTGACTGCAGCCCCTGCGCATTGACGTGTGCTACTGGAGGGAGAAGGAGCCTAAGAGCACCAACATGGGCAGTGTCAGTCCCTGCTTCCTGACCGTGGGGCTGAGCCAAGCCCCCCATGGCATCTACGGGCTGCCCGCCCTCGAGTACCCAGGGATGGTCAAGGTGAGCGGGTCACAGTGGTGGTTTGGGGGGATCCCTTAACCAGTCCACCCTGACCAGTTGTCCCCCAGCTGTGCCACCACCATGGCAGCCCCACTGACCCTGAGAAGCGGGATCAGGCCCCCTCGGGTGCCGACCGCCCTGACATCAGCCTCCTGAGCAGCTTCATCAGCAGTTATCTGCCCGGGTTGGAGACCCAGCCGGCCGTGACGGAGACCTGCCTCTACACGGTGAGACCCCTCCTAGGGCATGGATCCAAGCCTGTGGGGTCCTGAGTCCACCCCCACCCCAAGGTGGACCTTGCCATCCCTTCGCCCCCCACACCTTGGGTCCAGGATTGGACCCTTGGCCCCTCACCCTCACACCATGGCTCCCCCAGAACACTCCAGATGAAGACTTCATCCTGGACCGGCACCCCAAGTTCAGCAACATCATCATTGGTGCTGGCTTCTCAGGTAGGCGAGGGCACCCACCTCCCCCAACCCAGCATCCCAGAGCTGAGGGTGGCTATGTCCCCCACCTTCCCTCTCCTTCCCACAGGCCATGGGTTCAAGCTGGCACCAGTGGTGGGGAAGTTGCTGTGTGAACTGAGCCTGGGCGAGGAGCCATCCCACAACATGGCCCCCTTTGCCATCACCCGCTTCCATGATGTGCTCCAGTCTGTGCTGTAGGTGTGGGGCTCCAGCTGTGCCCCCATGGCATTGCACCAGACTGCAGCTGTGTCCCTGCATTCCAGTGACCTTATACCTCAGTAGGCCTGCATCAATACCCATCTCCATCTCCTTGCACCCTGGTGTCCCAACATGCTATACTTCTCCAACTCTAGCTGTCCTTCATCCCCACATCCCTATATTCCACCACCACATCACCCAGCATCCTGGCACCAATCCATGCCAGCAGCCCTCCATCTGTGCATCCCAGCACCACTGCACCTCCACATCTCAGAACCTGGGTATCCCCATAACCCTGCATCCCTGCTACCTGCATCCCAGCAGCCCTGCATCCCTATACCCTGCCTCCCCACATCCCAGCATCCCTGTCTCCCTGCATCCCAGCATCCCCCATGCCATGCGGTGCCAAGCTGTCTCTACCAAGCACCCGCTCCCTGGGAACAAATTAAGAAGCTTTGTCAGCCTCATGAAGATGGAGCTGGAGCAGCGCAGAGAGACACACTCGCTTAGGAGTCAAGTTAAATGTTTTAATGTTAAATGTGCCATTTTATTATCATTAGATCGCTCCCACTTAATGAAAGCGCATTAGCGCAGCGTGGCTTTATGGCAGCGAGCGCTGAGCTTGGCCCATGTTTTACCAAGAGATGTTGGGAAAAGGGATCAAATAACCTGGTTTGCCAAGGTCCCAGGAGTGGGGGTGTCTCTGAGGGTCCCTGGGGCCGGGTGCAGGGGACAACACATGGTACAGGCCAGCAGGTGCCAGGGCCAAGCTGTGCAGGCAGCCAGCAATGCACATCATCATCATCTCCTCCGCGTTAAATAATTAACGCCGGCAGGCAGCAGCTCTGTCCCACTGCTCATCTGCATATTTATGAAGATTGATAAATGATTCAGTGCTGGTACCCACAAGGGTTGTCCCCCCCCTCCCCTCCCCAGCACCCATGGGTGCAGCAGACTCAGGGAAGGGGCCAGGTTTGGCCCTTCCATACAGCCCCGCATCCTTGCCAGACCTGGATCCATTCCACCAGACCTTGCCACCATGCAAACACCCCTGCAAAATGGGGAGACCCCCCTGGCACATGGAGCAGGCAGCAGCCGGTGTCACCAGCCAGAAATGACGTTTATTTTCATACTGAAAGTAAAGGGCGTGTGGTGGGATGCACAGCTGGGCTAGTGCAAAACAGCCAGGCAGGAGCGGGGGGCTGGGGAGCTGTTGAAAACCCAGGTGGACACCTGGGACCCCATCCCCACATCCCCTTCCCAGCTGCCAGGCGGCTGCTCCCAGGGCCCGGCCAGCGAGAGACGTCTTTGGCTCAACTAAAAGGGGTGCAAGAGGGGGGGGAGTTTAAGTTATAAAATAAGGAGCCAGCAGGCACTGAGGAATGAATCCAGGGTGCCGGAGCAGCCGACTCCACCGCCAAGGACAGACAGGAGGTGGGAAGGTGGGGGGTGCAGCCAGCGAGCCGGCCGGGCTGCTCCCCCCATGGCCGGGGGACGGCTGAGTGTGTCCCCCCCACCCTGCACAGAAGAAATACCGGCTGCCCGGGGCGGCCCCGTGGAGCTGAGTGTTCCTGGGGCGGTGGGAAGTGGTGATGGGGGGCTAGGCAGGGGTCTCAGCAGCCCTGCTCTCCGTCTCGCTGGCACTGGGGGAGCTGCGGGAGGAGCGGCGTGTGCTGTCCCCGGCGTCCTGCTCCTCGTCCCATCTGTCATAGGTGAAGGTGTGCCGGGAGCTCGTGGGGCTGTGGGAGAGAGCAGGGTTAGTGAGGGTCCTGGGGGGCTCCATGGCTCAGCATGGCTCGGCCGCTGAGCACAACTCCCCTCCGGCTGCAGCAGGAGCTGTGGTGAGCCAGCACACTGGCAGCCAGCTGAATGGAGCTCTGATTGCCTCCTTTTTTATTATTTCCGAGATATTTGTGGCATGCTCCACTGCAACCAGCTCCTCGCTGTGCTGAGCTGAGCCCCTGCTCTGAGGTGGGGCTGAGCTGAGCCTGCCCGGGGGCTGCCACTCCCATGGGCACCCAGAACCCTGCACTCAGGAAAAGGGGGGCCCTGCATGCCAACACCAGCACTCATGGACACCCCTGCCTGAGGAACCTGGTGGTAACTGAGCCCAGGGCTGGGTGCTGGGGGTGTTTCTCCCCTTTGGCCACGTGATGCCTTCCCTAGCCCTGGGAAAGGCAGCCCAATGGCAACCACATTTCCAAAAGGCTTCCTTCCCTTCCTTCAGTCATTCTCCTATTCAAGCCATCAGAAAGGATGGAATCTGCTTGGAAATCGCTGCCAGTGAGCCCCAGCACATCCACTCTTCTACATCAAACAGGGTGCGGAGACCCAAAGTCCTGCAGGCTGAGGCTGTTCACACCCCAAATTCCCATCACAGGCACCTGACAGGACACAGGACAGCAACTCTGAGCTCCAACTGCCCACCCTGGGCCTCCCCCCACTGTCACAAACTGCAGTGGGTGCGTGTTAGTATCCGTCACACTCCTGCCCACTCCCAGGATGAGCAGGATGCTGTGCTGCCCAAAACTCCCTAAATTTCCTGAAGGAATAAATCCAGTTGTGTCCTGGCTGGTGGCTGGGGAGCCAGGAAGGCATTAGCACTTCCCAGTGCCCCACAGCCAATAATCCTGAACACGCTGCATCCTGGCAGCCTGGGCAGTGCTGGTCCCGCTGCGGCCACACTGGGAATCTCCCCACAGATGGAGATGAGCTGGGGATGCCGTGCAGCAGCCCAAAAGCAGGGCTGCTGCAGGCACAGAGAGGTCCCCCATGCTGGCAGAGGTGGACTCCATGTCTGGAGTCAGGAGAGGGTTAGGGCGAGCGGTTAGTGGCACACAGGGAGGTTCATGCTGCACGGCACACACTGCTCCCACCTCCTGCCTCAGTCGCTCTCGGGCCGGTACAGGTACTTCATCATCAGGCTGTCCACCTGCTTCTTCCGCTGCTTCTCCTCCTTCTTGCCCCGGGCAGGACGTGTCGGTTCCTCACCCCCCACCGCCCGTGGGCCCTTCTTGACACTGGAAGTGCTGCGGTAGGAGCTGGTGGAGCCAGAGGAGGACTCAGAGGAGGAACTGGAGTCAGATGATGACTCCTGCTTCTTCTTCTTCTTTTTGGATTTCTTCTTGGATTTCTTGGTGCGCTTCTTGGCGCTCTTCTTCTTCCGCTCCTCCTCTTCCTCAGAGGAGCCCGAGCTGCTGCGGCACCGGCAGGTGTGCCGGGAGAAGTCGAGGGCAGACGCGGAGCGGCGCAGGCTGCCAGAGGGCCGATCGGCAGCGCCCAGGGGGGCCGCGCTCCGGACACTCCTCACGCTCCGGCCGTCATCCCCTGAGTCAGCATCGGGGCTGGAGCACCCCCTGGACCTCAGCGGGCGGTAGCTCAGCACCTCCTGGATGGCAGCTTCCAGGTCGGGGTCAAGGTAGGAGCGGCGCCCCACGGGGCGGGCGTCCCCAGGGCCCTCCTCCTCCGAGGCTGCACTGCGGGGCCGTGGGGGCACAGAGAAGCTGCGCCCCAAGAGGGGCTGCCCGCGGGACCCATCGTCCGCCTCATCCAGGCGGCTGCGGGCCAGGGAGAGCCGCGATTCGGGACGACCCTCAGGCCCCCCACGCCTGCTCCGCAAGCTGCCGGGGCTGGAGAGGGCAAAGCTCAGCACGGAGCACCCCTCGTCCCCATCATCCCCATCCTCCAGCCCACGCCAGGAGGTGGAAGACACTCGGCTCACTGGAGCAGAGGCAACGGAAGCTTTCTCAACGTCGGTGGCCGAGAGGGACCACCGCTTGTCCAGCCCTTGCCGAGCCCGACCGCTGGCGTCGGCGAAGGCGCGGGCGATGACGGCCGCCCGGTCCTCAGGCTCGCCACCACGGGCCTTCCTGCGCGCCGGGCGCTCGGGGGACGGCGGCCGCTCGCCCAGAGCATTGAACAGCGTCTGCTCATCCCCGCGGCCGCCTATGGAGTCCTTGAGGCCCGGTCGCTTCCTGTAGCTGAGGGAGCTCAACACTGACACTGGTCGCTCCTCAGCCTCGGGACCATCTGGGGGGGCTGACCTGCGCCATGGCACCGCAGCCCCGCACGCACCGGGGAGACAAGAGAGAGATGGAGATGAGCGGGCGAGGGGGGGACCAGCGAGGCGGCCTCGGCAATTTGCGTCAGCGGGAAATGGCATCGTGGAAAAATGTCATGTAAATGTGGGAATTGTTCTAGCCCAGCACTTTGATTCCCCTTTAAAGTGTTGCCTCCAATTTACTTCATTGTCAGCTACCTGGAGCCGCTGCGTTTGATTCCCGACTTCAGAAAAGGTGGAATTATCTCCAATAACAAAATGTTTTACATCTGCACCGCTGAATAAATTAAACCAATTAACAGAAACCAGCTCAGATCTTTCCCCCCTGCTCGGCAGAGGGAGGGAGTCCCTCGGGACTCCTGGAGCCCTGCTAGGAAATTGGGTTTGGATAAAAGCAATCTGTGCTCAGCAGGCAAGCAATTTTCATGGAGAATGGAAGTGGGGATGTGTGCCCCAGCCCCACACTGTGGGGGAACCTAGGCATGTCTCCCACCTCTACTGTCATTTTCTGAGAGGTATGGGGAGGGATGTGGTGGGGCTGCAGAGGAGGGCAGAATGGAGCAGGGAATCAGTCCCGGAGTGATGGAAGGCTGCAGAGTGATGGAACGCTGCACAGAGCTAGAGCCCACCACTGTGAGCCCTGGGGAGGCAAATGGGGTGGGAGGTGTGGATGCCCCTGTGCCTCCAGGATGGGATGAGGGAAGGGGGACCAGAGAGGTCCCCTTAGCTGGGGGGACATGTGTCCCCAGTGGAGACCAAGCTGCTCACCAGCATTAACCCTTCCCAGGCCAACCACACAAGCACCAGGCAGGAACACGGCACCAAGCGCCACATCCCACAAGTGCCCAGCCACTCCCAGCCATGTCCCAACACAGCTCAGCTCATCCTCTGCCCCACACCCAGCCCTGCACCCACCTGCTGCCCTTCAGGCTGCCGTCATCCGAGAGTGCTTTGGAGGAGCCTTTGTTCTTGGAGAGCCAAGACTTCACCCCATCCACACGCTCCTCCAGCTCCGAGTCCACATCTGAGTCACCGTCACTGCCAGAGGAGCGGGTCAGGGTGGAAGAAAGCAAGAGGTGAGCATGGGGCAGTGAGATTTTGGGTGCTGGAGAGGTGAAAGTGCACTGGAAGGCACCATAGCATCCCCAGCACCCACTGCCTGTGTACCCTGGGATGGGTGAAACCCCATCCCATGATTCTGCTCCATTGCTGGGGTGTAACCTGCATGCACAGAGCTCAGCCTGCATTTCAGGGTCTCCCTGAAGCATCCCCAAACCCCCAAACCACCTCCCTGCCTGCCCAAGGGGCTCCTGCATCCTCTGCCCAATGTCCCCCCTCGCCATTGCATGGGGCTGGAGACAGTTGGGGCAGCAGGCAGGGCACAGCTCCAGAAACCCAGGAGATTTCCAGCTCCGGGACTTGGAAGGAAATAAGTGGATTCATTTTATAGGCCGCCGTCGAGTGCAGAATTACAGCGAGGAAGAGCGATGCTGATGGCCCCGGGTAAACAGGAGTTTAGCAGGCGGAACAGGAACGACTCCGGCACGGCGGGCGCGGGAGCGCGGTGGGCAGATTTACAGCCCTGCCGTGCCCGAGAGCCCCTGATTTACGTCCCCGCGTAAAAAAAGTCCTATCTGGCTTAAACCATCTAATTTATAACGGCCCTTCGTAACCATATTGATTGCCTTTAGAGAGAAGGTGCTGTCTGCATTGCAAAATCCATTCCTCCACGTTAAAAGCATCCCCGAGTAAATCTCCCTTAATACCTCACCGTTCACTGCTTTCATTAGGGTTACGGCGGCACTGGTGGGATCTATACGGAGTGGGGTGGTCCCCTCTCCCCACCCCACTCCCACCAAACGAGGGCTCCCACTGGGCTGCTCCAGGGAAGGGATATATCGTAGGATCTTTAACGGCCTTTTATCCGCCTGGTTTTGGGCTTATTCCCTGCCTGGGAATGATGGCAAACAGCACAAGGGACAGGCTGGGATAGACCCTGTATATGAATCCTCCTTGTCAAATTCAAAGCAATGAGCCACACTCCATCCTGTGCATCTCCCTCCCCTGCAATACATCCAGGCAACGCTGGGCTTGGGAAAAAAAAAAAAAAAACCACAACAAAAAATCCCACAGAATGACACCAAAAAAAACCCCCAATGAGCCCCAGAAACAAGCTCTGGGAGCAGCAAAGGCTTTATAACCAGCAGAATTAAACTCCACATCAAACGCAGTTTATGTCCAGGCGAACGTGCCGTTAGTCAAGCAGGACCCGGGTCGTGGGAACGACCATGGATGGGGATATTAATTAGCGGGGCTTCATCGCTGCCCCACGCTGACACATTCATCATCAGCCATGGCAGGACATCATTCCCCACCCCATCCCAGGGGCTCATCCCATCCCCCTGCATGGGACACAGTTATGTGCCGTGCCGTGCCGTGCCGTGCCGTGCCGTGGGTGATGTTAGGGCATGCGGAGGTGGGCCAGCGGCATGCGGGACCCCGGCCCTCGGGGGTGAGGTGGGGGTTAGGGGAGGGGAGGAAGGAAAGAGATGCTCCTCACAGTTTACTCTTTCTTTTCTGATACTTTGCCACCATGTCCTGCAAACTGGGAGGGGTTGGAGGGAGGGTAGGAGGGGGGAGAAACACAACAGAAAAGAAATCAAATGAAAATTAAAAAAAAAATAAGACCAAGTGGGTGGAGAATGGACGGGGACAAATTAAATGGAGGGGAAGGGCCAGGGGAGGGAAGTGAGGCTGCCCTGCAACCCTGGAGTGGGGTTGCACTCAGGCTGGATTCCAGCATTCCAGGACGGTTGCCAGAGCATGTTCAAAGAAAGGTAATGGAGCTGAGGAAGAGTCTGGAGCACAAGTCTGATAAGGATTGACTGAGGGAGCTGGAGGGACTCACCCTGGAGAAAAGGAGGCTCAGGGGCAACACTTTTGCTTTCTACAACTCCCTAGAAGGAGGTTGTAGCCATGTGGGGGTCAGGCTCCATTCCCAAGGAACAAGCGATAGGACAAGAGGACATGGCCTCAAGTTGTGTTTAGATTGGATACTAGGGAAAATTTCTTCACCAAAAGGGTGGTCAGGCATTGGAACAGGCTTCCCAGGGAAGTGGTGGAGTCACCATCCCTGGAAGTGTTCAAAAAACACGTGTATGAGGCACTTGGGACCATGATCTAGTGGTAACATGGCAGTGCTGGGTTAACGGTTGGAGTCGGTGATCTCAGAGGTCTTTCCCAACCTAAACAATTGTAGGATTCTATAATTCTATCTCTGGTCTGGGCTGGATCCCAGCATCCCAAACCTCCTGCCAGCTTGCGCTGCCCTGGCTCCTGGGGCTCTCTGGGCTGTTTCCAGCCAGCTGACACAGCCCTGAATGCATTTCAGGCACCTCCACAAGCAGGTGAAGCTCCCCGGGGCTGTGGGTGGATGGAGGGATGGATGCAGAGGTGCAGGGACTGATGCCCGTGTGCACAGGTGCCCGATGCACGGCTGGCACAGACACAGGTGCATGGACAGATGCACAGGTGCACGATGCATGGACGGACGGAGGGACAGCATCCTGCCAGGGCCAGGCAGAGCCGAGGGGTCCCCGTGGCATTTCCGAAGTGGCAAGGGGAAGCAGTGACCCCCGGGGATGTGCCTCGCGTGGAAGTCAGGCCCAGGTGTTCTCACCTGTTGATAAGGTCCTCGTTGCTGTCGCTCTCCATCTCATCCTCGATGGCTGCCTGCAGGTCCCCGATGCGCTTGAAGGCCAGCTTCAGGTCTGACTGCAGGCTCTGGTTGGCAGCTTCCAGGCTCTCCAGGTCCATCTCCTGCGGGGAGGGAGTGGGATGAGCCAAGTGCCTCAGGGAACACCCCCCTGCTCCCTGCCTAGCCCTATGACAGGTGCCTCACCAGCTCGTGCTTCTTGCGGCTGGCCTCTGCCTCCTTCTTGGCCAGCTCGCCCATCTCCTCCTTGACATCACGGAGCTGTCGCTGCAGCCGCTTGTTCTGCTCCTTCTCCCGGTTCTCGGCGGCTGCGCGCTGATCCCGCTCCTCCGTCAGCTTCTCCATGTTCTCCTTCAGCCGCGTGGCCAGGCTCTGCAGAGCAGTGGGGTCATCCCAGATCCCCCCACGGACCCCTCATCCTACAGGTCCACCCTCATCCTGCAGATCCACCCCAAAACCCACCAAGGGCTGATGAGATGACCTCCCCATGACCCCATCCCCATGAATTTACACAAGAAGATGAAGGAGAAACCACCCCCTCCCAGGGCCAGGGAAGGGGCAGAACAACAGCAAGGGCTTTGTTGAATTGGAAAAATAGATTTAACTGTGTGTGAAGTAATTAAAACATGTAACATAAGGAAAAAATAGCTCCCGTTCTCCCCCCATCCACTGAGCCAGCCGCTGCATATTTATGGCCCCGGCAGAGAGAGCGGGGAAGGAAATAATAGCTTGGAAAATATGAAGAGGAGAGCTAAGCTGCCGCGCTCCCCGGCAGAGCTGCGGAGGCAGAATATAAAACAGGCTGTGTTCGTGGGGCCGGGAGTCTATAATTTCCCTAAGTCGATGCAGGGAAAGAGCAGCACTTTGCCGGGCCGGGCGGTGGATTACTGTTATCGGTGCTTGCAGGGAGCCTTCCCTGTGGAGTCAGGGATGGGCTGCCAGAGGGGGAGGGCTGCAGCATGGGGGGTCCTGGGGAGGGGATGCGCTCAGTAGACCTCTCAGGCAGCTTAATTACGCTCTTGTTGCATCCTTGTCCCAGGAAGAGCGGAGGGAGAGCCCAGTGCCTACCTCCAGGCGCTTGACTTGCGTCCGCTCGAACTCCAGCCTGGTCTCCAGCTCGCGGATCTTGGCTTCTTGCCGGCTCACCAGTGACTTGTCCACCATGGATTGCTCCAGGAACTCCAGCTGGCTCTGCAGGCCTTGTAGCTGTGGGGGGTGGTGGGGGCACAGCCTCAGCCTCGACCACGACCTCCCTGCCCCCCTGACATGCCATCCTGGAGCAGAGCTGCTGGCCATTCTGCTCCCATCCCCCGGGACTGCTCTGTGCCCCCACAGTGCATGGTATGGGCAGTAGGTCTCTGGGTGACTCCCACCCCCGGCTTCACTCAGGGTGCATCCCCTGTCTGATGTTGGTGCTCCCCACCTTCTCCTGCAGCTCCTGCTTCTCCTTGCTGACCTCCTCCAGCTGTGCCTGGAGGTCATTCATCTGCGCCAGGTCTCGGGACGCCTGTGGGACACACCGGGGCCATCAACAGGGATCCCACTGCGCTGGCTCCAAGAGGGGTGATTTTGGGGGGTGGAGTGGGCACAGCTGCTGCTCTCCCTCACCTGGGCTACAGCTGCCTTGTGCTTCTTCATCAGCTCATTCATGTCCTCCTGGTCCTCCTCCAGCCGACTCTGCACCTCATTCTTTTCCCGCTGCAGTCGGCTCAGCTGCTCCTCCAGCTGCAGGGAGCAACACCTGTCTCCTGCTGCAGCACAGGAGTGGGGCACTTACCGCCCCAAAGCACCCCAAACAGCATGGAGTCACCCTGCTGGCACCCTGGGAGCAAGTGGGGCATGGCCCCACCACGGCACATCGCACCCCAAAACCACTCACCGCTGCCTTGGCCTTGGAGAGGTCGTCAATCTGCAGATGGAGGTCCTCGATCTCCACTTCCATGGATTTGCGGGCCTTGACAGCGGCTGCGCAGGTGAACTCCGACTCCTCCAGCTGCAGGGATATAGCTCAGCACCTGGCCAGAGGACAGGGACACCCCGTGTCCCTGAAAGGCTGCGGTTTGGAGGGGTCTGGATGCACACCTGGTTCTTGAGCTGGGTGATCTCCCTCTTGCTGGGTGCGTTGTTCTTCAGGTGGTCCAGCATGATCTGAGCATCAGCCAGCAGCGCCTTCGTTCTCTTCAGGTCCCGGCGCAGGCGCTTTTCTGTCTCGAAGTCCCGCTGGTTGGCCTGTGGCAGGGGGGACCATGCCAGGGCTCTGTGCTGCAGGGGTGCCCACCCACTATGGCCACCTCAGGGTCCCCAAAGCAAGGTACGTGCCCAGCTGCCCTTCACCCCACCTGCTCGCTGACAGCAGATAACTTGCTCTCCAGCTCCCGTTTCTCTCTCAGCACCTTCTGCTTGTCCTCATACTCTTCCTCCAGCTGCACTTCCATCTGCTTCAGCTGTGGGACAGACAGGGGGCAGCTGGTCAGGGAGGTGGGGAGGGGTCATGACCCCCCTCCTTGCATGTCCCCACACACTGGGGACACTGGGTGACCCCACCGGATGAGTGTTTGTGCAACCAGAGGCACAAAGCCCGGCGTGTGCTGGCCCGGGCGGCAGAAGGACTGGTCGGACCCGCCGGGCCAGTGGAGCCGGGCTGTGGTCGGCTGCGTGGGAGCTGGGTGCTGCGTGACGGTGCCCAGCTGGCAGCTCCCGGCACCCAGCCGGGGTATGGGGAGGCATCCCAGGCCCTCCTGGGCAGAGGGGCTGCAGCTGAGCCCTACCTTCTTCTGGCACGACTGCCGGATCTCCTCCACCTCCTCGTCACGGCTCTCCACCTCCTTGGCGTGGGTCTGCCGCAGCCGCTCCATCTCCATCTCCAGCCGCAGCTTCGCCTACAAATGGTGGGGATGTGGTCAGAGTAAAGGGGATGTGGGGACCCCCCATGCCACTCCCCAGGCACCACTCACACAGAAAATGCCCCGGTCCGAGGCCGGCCGGGTCGCTCGCCCCATGGTGACCTGCCAGGCCATGGCACGGAGGGCCAGGAGCCGTGTCAGCCCAACACCAGGCTCAGAGCGACCGCCTCCTCTTCCTGGGCAAGCCCGGCCCAGGTAATAACAGCCCTGCATGAAACCACCCCACCCAGAAACCTCGCCCCTCCCCGCTGTACCTGCTCCAGCATCTGGATGGTCCCAGCCTGCTCATCCAGTTCCTCCTCCTGGTCTTTGACCTTCGCCTCCAGGTCCCTCAGCTGTTTCTTCACCTTGGCCAGGGAGGCTTCGTCCTTAGACTCCTGGGAGGAGATGTCCTGCAGCTCTGCCTCCAGTGCCTCCGCCTTCTGCGTCAGCCCTGCGATGTCCGAGTCCTTGTCCTGTGAGAGACAGGGTCACCATGAGCCTGGGGCACCTGGTGACTGGGGGACTGGGTCAGGGGCTGGGATCCACTCACCTCCAGCAGCTGCTTGAGGCCGAAGACCTCAGCCACCAGCACATCCTTCTCGCGACTCAGCTTTTCCCGCTGCAGCCGTTCCCTCTGTGCCTCCTCATGTGCCTGAGAGAGCTCGCTGTCAAACCTACATGGGGAGAGCAGAGCGAACACTCAGCACCCTGGGGGCCAGTCCTCAGCCCTGTGCTAGGGACACTGTGCCAAGCATCCCCTTCCCATGGCAGCAGGCTTCGGGAAGGGCGGAATGGCGTCCAGTGCTTCTTTGAAACAGCCTGTTGATGAGCCTTTAATTGCTAGCACGGTGGCACAAGTCACTCCGAGAAACTCCTCCCGATGCCTTTACTCAGTGCTAATGAAGAGCACAGTGCCGACTCCGGCAGAACCATCAGCTGCTCTGTGGGGCCAGCAGTGGCTGCTAACGGCAGGGGCTTGATACACCGAGGCAGCCAGGGACACCAAACCCTCCAAGCAGGACTCAGAGGGGCTTCAGGACATTGAGGGGTCTCCAGGAGAGACAGGATCTTGTGGCAGAGCAGCTCCCCCAGTTGCATCCCAGTGCCACGGCCCCACGTGGCACAGGTCCCATCCCCAGAGCGGACTCGAGTCCCTGGAGGGGACACAAACCCCTGGTGGGGGAGTGCTCAGCACAGCCTGTAGCCAGGAAGTGCCGTGGCAGCTCTCCCAGTGCCCCTGGGATGGGATCAGCCGGGTTTGCTCCGAAATCACTGCCTTTGGGGCTTGGAAAACAACCCTACGCTTGAGTTTGTGACCTGAGTTAAACACCTCGGCAGCTAATCCCCGTTTTTCCTCGCGCTGGGTAATAAACAGCTGCATTAGCACAGACACCAATCCACGGAAATTGAAATTAATTAGATTGGATTCTCTCGCTGTATTTGTGTGTGTGATCATTACCATAATGAGATGAAAGCGTCCCCGCTGCTTAATAACGTTAGCAAACTTTGGGGCTGGGAGCAGGGACGGGGTGGCAGCGCACACCGAGACGAGATGCAGGGCACCAGCAGCCTCCACCATGGGGCATGCCCCCATGGAGGGGGGATCACTCAGCACCAGGTCCCCCAAAAGGGTATGAGGGACCCCCTCACAACTAACACATCCAACCTTGGCAACTCCATCCTGCTGGAGACACCCCAGCCAAGTAGGAGCTGGTGAAGTGCCCAAATCCCTGCTAAAATGGTAATGCCACTTTGCCAGGGGCTTGCTGCGCAGCAAGGATGACCTTCTGGCTCCAGCGTGCAGTCCCCACCTTCTCTGCTTCTTCTCCAGGTCATGGTTGCGTCCCTGCTGTCCCTCGAGGTGCAGCTTGGTGTCCTGCAGCTCAGCAGCCAGGCGTTGGCACTTCTTCTTCAGCTGCTGCAGCGCGCGCTGGCTCTCCTCGCTGTCTGCTTGCAGGTCAGCCAGCTGCAGGCAGGAGCAGGCAGGGAGGTGAGGGCTCCAGGATCCCACCACATCATGTCCTGGCCATGGGCTCCCCCAGCTCCAAGTAGCCCACCCCATGCTGAGGGCACCAGGGGCTCCCCAGGGCTGAGCCCCACTCACCTTCCGCTCCAGCTGCCTCTTGCCCTGCTGCTCCACCTCCAGCTTGTCCTCCAGTTCCTGCTGCATTCGTTTCTTGGTGAAGTCGATCTCCCGCACTGCCCGCTCGTATTTCAGCCGCCATTCGCCACCTGTGCAGGGAAATGGGGTCACCAAGGGGCTGTGGGGGTGGTGTGGGGCCATTGTGGAGAGGGGGACACTCAGTGTATGCCAGCAGCCAGCACCGGAGGCAGGACAGTACCTGAATCATCATCATCGAGCTCCCCGTTGAGCTCGGCTGCCCGGATGAGCCGAGCCTCCATCACCTCCATCTCCATTGACTCCATCTGCTTCTTCAGGGCATCGTACTTTGCCTGGGAGGGAACACGGCTTTTGCGAGTGCTGGGGGTAGGGGCCAGGAAACGCTGTGAGGCCGAGGAGAGGTGCTTTTACCTGCAGGTCCTTCATCTCCTTCTCAGCCCGCAGCCTCTCGGCTGTCTCAGCGTCCAGCAGTTGGGAGGCTGACTCGCCGGTGTTCCGCTCGTCCGTCAGCTCCGATGTCAGCTCTGTGATCTGGGGGCGACAGGAAAAATGGGATCATGGGCTGGGGTAGGCCAGAAGAGCACCATACCCCATCTTGGCACCAGCAAGGACCTACCCTGCTCTCCAGACGATCGCTGTTGAGCCTCAGCTCGTTACGCTCCTTCTCCACCTTCTCGAGTTTGCTCTTCAGCTGCTGGATCTCTTCCTGCAACAGAGCGGGCGGTGAGGGAGGGGGTAGGCGCAGGGAAGAGGTTGGTGGGCAGGAGCTTGGCAGCTCTCCACCCCCCACAGCCCCCCCCCAACACAGGATGGGCAGGGTGGGGGCTCCCCGAGGCCGCTCTCCCCTGCCAAGGCTGGGCAGGGACTTTCCCCAACCCGCTCCTCCGCCGAGCTGACTCCAACCCCATAAATGGTGTCGAAACGCCAGGCAGTCCCAGAAAAGCTGGAGAGGGGTCCCCCCATCCCCTGGGAGGGGGGTGGGAGGAAACCCACTCATCAACAGCTCACTGAAGGATTTGGGTGCACCCAGCCCAGGTGAGGATAGAAGAGGCCCACCAGGATGCCTGGGGCCCATCAGCCAATTCTGAGGAGGTGTGTCTGGCTGCCAGTATCTTCTTCATCCCTTCTCTGGTCCTAGTACAGGCTGGAGAGGGGCAGGAGGGACCCCAAGTGCCCCCATTCAGGCACCCGTCCTTAGCAGATCGGGGTGAAAGCTGAGACAGGCAGCGGCTCCGTGCCGAGCGGGCTCGGCGGGTGCACCAGTGTCTGGTTGCCAGCGCGAGCGGAGCCCCTGCATATGCCTCTCGGCACACGGTTTCATTTCCATTCTCCACGCTTGTAATTGGGCTCATGCAACAGCCGGCTCTCGGGATGCTAATGACATGCTGATTCACAAATTAGGGAGCAATTCGAGCCTGGCGCTGACTGGGTGCAGGCAGACGCGGTCCCGCATCTCACCCCATCATGAGCTCCTGCATCCCACCCCACTGTGGAGTCCTGTATCCCAATCCACCACAGGATCCTGCATCCCACCCCTCCCCGGGTTCTGCATCCCACCTCACTGCAGAATACTGCCTCCCACCCCACTACGGGATCCTGCATTCCACCCCACTGTTAGCTCCTGCATCTGACCCCATCCTGGGGTCCTGCATTCCACCCCACCGCGGGGCCCAGGGCCAACGCTCCCCCAAGCCCTCCCTGCTCCATCCAACATCCCCCAGCACAGATACCCACGTCTTTGCCACGGATCTGGTCCTCGGTGAGCTGCACCTCGATGAGGGGCCGCACAGTGGTGAAGAGCTTCCACCACGGCCAATCCTTCACCCCCTTGTTCTTCTTGATGTTCTTCTGCACGCACCGGATGGCCAAATCCTGGATCTGTGCAGGGCACGGGGTCAGCACAGGGTAAGGGGTCAGCACGGGGTGCTGCCAGCAGGGCAAAGTGGGGCGGGTAGGCGCTCAGCACTCCCACCAGCACCCCAGCATGCTCCCCTTCGTTAGCATTTGGGCTAATTGCACCGGCCTATCTTCTGTTTGATCCTCTCCAGCCCCTCTAAATGCTAATCCCGGGAAGGCGAGGCGCTGCCGAGACGCCTATTTTACGCCTTCTTTAATGTTAAAAGTAGGAGCCGATGCGTCGCTTCATCCTGCTGTGGCGGTGCCCAGCAGCCTCCCTGCCGGCTCCCCCTGGCCCCCCGGTTCCCCCTGGCCCCCCACGGCTCCCGGGGAGGCGGGAGGAGGAGGTGCTGGCCCAGGAGGCGCAGAAAGACTGTGCTGCCCATTTTAGGCGAAATTGTGCAGCAGAGCGGGGAGGGGAGAGTTGCTGGGACGAACCTTTCTCTTCTTGAAGTGCTGCCGTGCCAGGAAGCCCCTGCATGCTGCCTGGAAGAGGGTGATGTTCCTGCTGGTTTGTGTGTCCCGCTGCTCCTCCAGCTTGGCCAGTGATCCAGCCCGGAAAAACACCTGTGGGAGGGGAGGGGGATGGGATGGTGATGGGTGCTGGCATCCCACCAGCCACGCCGTGCCACCCGCCTGCTGGTAGGGATGCAGCTCTCCCCTCCTGTCCCAGCCACTGGTCCTGTCCTGCCGTGGGGTTTTATTCCCTAGGCACAAGGAATGCCGGGGGTGGGAGCAAACAGTGATGCCCTTGTGCTGGCCCACCGTGCTATGCCCAGCCATGACGCACACCCCTGCCCACACCCAGCATCAGGCACCATACCCGGCTCAAGCCCATGTGGTAGCTGCTCTTCTCCAGGTCCAGCGACTCCAGGAGCTCCTCCACTGCCTGTGGGGAGGGAGGAGTGTCAGGACTGGGATGGTGGCACCCTGGGGCGCAGGGGACCTTGGACCACACACTGGCCCTGACACAGGACACGCACCCGCTTCTCATCCACCACAATGTAGTTGCGCCCGTGTTTCTTGGTCAGGTGTGGGGCCAGGACATCGAAGCGCCGCCTGAACTCCGCAAACACCATGTGGTCGGGGTAACCTGGGGGAGCAAGGGAGAGTGGGGCTGTGGGGACAGCCAGGATGCCTGGGGGATGGCCAGGGACAGCCTTGTGTGCCCTAACATGCTGAGGCCCAACTTCTGGGAGAGCTGACAGGGTCACCCCACGTGGAACAAGCTCCCCATGGGGCCAAACACAGCTGGAATGCCCTGAGCCTCCTCGGGAGGTTTTCCTTGGCTGGGTCCTCCAGCAATTTTGGCTGGGATCTAGGGAGAAAGTGGCCAGATCCCATCTTGGGGGTAGACCAGGAACACATATGCTGCCTGTGCAAGTCCTGCTCCGGCTTCACTTTGAGCTGCAGCCAACTCCTGCATCAGGCTCCAGCACTGAGCCTTCACATCTTAATTAACGACGAGGTATTGATGGGAACTCTGACCCCAGCACGGCCGGCTGGCCACGGCCACCAATCCAGGAGGTGTGCGGGTGGCATCGATTTCCAATCGCGGCAGGAAGGGTTCGGCCTCCAAGCAATAAACCCTTGGCCAGGCAGCCGGCCATGCGTATCGATAAATGCTTTGCTGAGCACAACTCAGAGGCCCTCGTTCCAGTGGGACAGGGGCTGGATGCCAATGGGATTCCTGCCAGGAACCAGTGGCACCAGTGGAGACACCCAATTAAGGCCATGCCTGTCCCCAGCACAGATAACAGCCCCCCCAGGGGAGGGGTGACAGGGACAGGACTGCTGTGGGGAGACAACTGGAAGCTGCAGGGCTCAGAGCGAGGGCATGTGCCGAATGGGTTCTCAAGGGCCTTTGGCTCCCCAGTAAGAAGATACATCCAGGACCTCCATGGCATCCTTCCCCTCACCCTGGTGCCGGTGCCACGGCTCACCTTGGCGGTACATGCGGAGGGCGTCGAGCAGGCGGGAGCCACGGAGCTGTGCGCGCAGGAGGGGCACATCCAGCTGCATGAGCCCGGCCTCGCAGTGCTCCGCTGGCAGCTCCAGCTCGCTGCCGCTCACCCGCCGGCACGGCAGAGCCTGGGGGTCCCCGCCACCCCCCGCTGCCTTGGGCAGGAAGCAGTGCACGAAGTGGAGCTTGGACTTCTTGATGCTGTCGATGAGGGCATCCTGTAGGCACAGCAGAGCAGGGTGAGTGGTGATGTGCAGCAGTGCCCCAGCCAGACATGGGGACCCCCACTTGGCACCCTCTCACTCACCACTTGCAGCTTGATCTGGATGCAGAGGGATTTCTTCTTGACGGCGGCCACGCCGGTGGTGAAGGTCTTGCGCATGCTGGTGGCCCGGCGCAAGGCCAGCTGGGAGCCCCCCTCCAGCCCTGCCACTGAGCCTGACAGCACCAGTGCCGACCCACCACGGCCAGCAAAGAGGCTGCTGATCACCTTCCTGCAGGGCACAGAGGGGATGTCACCCCCCAACACCACCCCTTCCCCCCACCATGCTCCCAACCCAGGACCCCACTCACTTCTGGGACTCCTGCAGCAGGACGGAGGCATTTTGGGAGGCTGGGTTGTGCTTGACATAGTTGAGCCATCCGGTGGCATCGTACTCCACCCAGTTAGTCCCCGAGCTGTGACCCAGGAGGAAGTGTCGGGGTTTGTCACTGGGGAGCAGAGGGTTGTGCCCTGTGGGAAGACACAGAACCGCTGGGCATAGCCCTAGGGACCAGCACTTTACTGGTGCATGTCACAGAGTCACAGAATGGTAAATGGTTTGGGTTGGAAGGGAGCTTAAAGGTCATCGAGTTCCGACTCTCACTCCATGGGCAGGGACACCTTCCACTAGAAAAGTTGCTCCTGGTCTAGAGGACATATTCCCACAGTGCCAGGCTTCCCCATACCTTTCTTGCCTCCTTCCTGTGGGCCGTAGTAGGAGAAGAGCCGCTCCAACAAGGTGTCCTCGTTGCCACCCGGCTGCAGTGCCTCCTCCTCCAGCAGCCATAGCAGCCCCCGCGCCTCGTCTGTGCGGGCCAGTGACCGGACCTGCAGGGACACCGCGCTGGCAGCTGTCCAGCATACCATTGTCCCCCAGAGCAGGGACATGGGGTGACACAGGGGACCCAGGCCACCCAGGGAGCATGCAACCTCACACCGTGCAAGAGGCCTCCTGCTTAATGGAGACCCAGCAGGAAAAGAGCCCATATGGGACACTCCAGCAGCGCATCTCGCTGGGAAATGTAGTGCTCAGGCACCTGAGGGCTGGAGCCACAAGCCCTCCTGGTCTCTGCAGCCACCTCCAAAAGGGACTGGAGGACCTCAGGGATTAGAGAACCTTGGGAACCTGTGCACCCTGGGGACCTGAGCACCTTGGGGACCAGATCATTCCAGGGATCTCAAGGACTGGAGCACCCCAGGGATCACACACAGTCTCCAGGTCCCCTGCCTGCAGCACAGGCAGCTTCCAGGGCAAGCAGGGAAAACCATGCTGGGGGATGCACCAAGGATGTGGGCTGCACACATACTCGCACCCGTGCTCTCACAGCCATTCAGGACAGCCCCTTTCCTTCCCCTCACTACCACCTGAGTGCCAAAATTCCACCCATCCGCTGCCGTGCTGTGGTTGGGAGGAAGTGCAGTGGGTGCTTACCAGTGCCTGGTGTGAGGACTGGTCTACAGCAGCTACGGAGTCAGAGGAGCCGGGCTCAGCATCAGCCAGGGTGAGCTCTATGTTCTCCTGGTGAGGGGGAACAGAGGCAAGTGAATGCCCACACCACGGAGTAGCAGTGATTGGGACCAGGAGCTGGTCAGGATGTTGGTCTCAATGAGGTTTAGGATGATGCCGCATGCCAAGGGGGGACCAGGACACATAGAAGGGTCCCCCCAGGCTGTCAGTGCCAAGATGGAGCAGCAGCAGTGATCTCACCACCACCACCACTCACAGCCACCCCATCACCTCCCAGCCCAGCTCTCCTCTGCCATGCTCCACAGCCAAAGAAATCAGGGGGGACACAGAGGAGATGTTCATGTGGGGACAGGAGGGCAGGAAGGGAGGAGGCAATGGCAGCCCTGGGTGTCCCCAGTACCTCCTTGTATCGCTCCAGCTCGCGGGCGAAGGTGCGCTGGTGGAAAAGGAGCTGCAGGCGCTCCTGGGCATAGTTGTGGCAGAGCTCCTCGAAGGTGGCCCCCCGGCTCTGCCCTGCCAGCTCAGGGTTCTGTGACCCGGGGGTGTCAACAACTGTCACCGAGCACACTGAGTGCTGGCTCGACTTCAGCGCCCTGGGGGGGACACAAAAGGGACTCAGCGGGTGAGTGGATGCTGCCATGCACCCCCCAGCTCTACCCCCAGCCCTCCCAGCACGTACCTGTTGAGGAGGGAGATGAGGAGGGTGAAGAGCTCGGAGTACAAACCAGATGCCATGCCCTCCAGGCACTCCAGCGCCGTCAGCTTGGGACCTGGCCAAGGCAACCCTGAGTGTCCCCAGTCTGTCATTCCCTGGGGCCCACCCGCTGTCCCCCCAAACCTCACCCTACCTGTTCCACCATCCCCCAGGGGGGACTCATCGGGGCCCTGCCGGAAGGAGGTGGAGCGCTGCAGGGTGGCCTTGGGCTGGTGCTTGAAGATGGCAGAGGAGAGCTCCTCCAGGCTGCAGCCCAGCAGGTACGCGGCTTTCTGAGCCCACTCGTGACGTGCAAACTGCTTCCTCCCGGCTGGAGGGTGGAGAAGGGGGCTTCAGAGCCAGGCAGGGCATCCCCAAAAATGGGGAGCATATCCAGACAGGCTTAGATGGTCTCAAGGACCCCCAGAGTATGCTGGGGGTGCTGGGCACAGTGGGAGTACATGGCCAGGAAGCATGTTTTGAGGTGTGAGGAGACAGACATGTTTGGGGTGTAGAGGAGATGGGGGGTGAATGGCTTCGTGCCACTTCAGGGCTGAGCCCACAGCCACACCACGGTGTGTGGAGGTGAGGGTCCCCTTGTCATCACTACCTGGGGACCTCTGGGGCTCTGAGCCACCCTATACACAGGGACATGTCCCTGCTCGATGACACACTGAGCAGCCCAGCTGCAGCACAGCAGGACAGACCGTGGCAGACAGACAAAGACATGGATGCGGATGGAGGTGGGAACAGGTTAATGGTGACATGCAGGGACATGACAGCAGGATGGCAGTGGCACGTGGGAAGGGAAGCCAGAGACACGGGCGGAGAACAAGACTTTACCTTCGTCGGCGTCTGCATTGCAAAGGGCAGCATGCACCATGCGAACAGAGACAGGGGTTAGAAACAACGGCACGTGACGGCGCGGGGACACGCGGCACGGGGGGCCCTCCTGCCAAAACGCGCCGCCACGCCACGCACATGCCAAGCCTGCCCCTCCCCGGGCATTGCTGAAGTGTGTGAGGTCTTTCCTCTGTGAGCCCCCCTGCTCTGTGGGCACTGGTGGGGAGCAGCTCAGCTCTGCCCCAGAGTGCAGAGGGCTGCTATCAGATCCAGCCCGGTGCAAGTGTCAAGAGGATGAGGAAACCGGGAGGGCTGGTGTGACTGAGCTGGCTCTGAGCACCCCCGGTGTCCACGAGGTGCAGGGGAGGCTTCAGCAGTAGCACAGAGCCAGGGCTGGGATGCTCCCCCCCCAGCAGGATCTGGGGTTCCCTTCCAGCAGGGCCCCCGTTATAAAGAGACTCCAGAGCTGCCCAAGCATCCCGCTGTGGTGGCTGCGGCAGGGCCCTGCTGCCCTCTAGTGCCCTGAGAGCACCCCATGGGCCAGCACTGCACGCTGAGAGCATCCCATGGGCCAGGACTGCACGCTGATAGCACGCCGTAGGCCAGCACTGCACCCTGAGAGCACCCCATGGGCCAGGATTGCACCCCACTGTGCCCCAAGAGCACCCCATGGGTCAGCACTGCCCCCCACTACTCCCCAAGAGCACCAACCCTGCACCCCAGTGCACACTCAGACCACTCCAGTCTCTCCCTCCTCATCCCCAACACATCTCTTCCCCCAGGGCTGAAAATTCCCTAGGTGCAGCCACCAGCTCCAGGTGCTCATTTTGGGGTTGCCATGCCCCAGCCCTCCTGCCAGTGTGCAGCACCACTGGGGCTTCCAGCACTGTGGGGAGAAAAGGAAGCCACAGGGGGAGAAGAGCAGCCCCCAAAGCCTAATTTGCCACCCCCAGGGATGGAGAGTGAAGTTGGTGCTGTTGGAGCCAGAGCAAGCACCCACGGTGTGCTCTGGGTGCCAGGGTAGCTCTGCCCCACACCACCAATATGCTGACAGGACTGGGTTGGGGGTGCTCACGGGCATCAGGAACCAGCTGGGGGTCAGGGTTGGTCCCAGCACACCAGCAGCATCCCAAGCCCCCGTTTCAGCCCCAAAACCAGCACCGCGTGGCACCCCCCAGAGCAGAGCCCCCCCCCATTACCGGCTCCGTCTGCCAGCGGCTCTGCGAGGAGGATGGAGGAAGAGGTGTTACACTGGGAACGGGGGATACACGCACCCCCCAACTCCCTCAACCCTAGCCAGGCCCCGTCTGATGCATGTTGGCAGGAGCCAACCCAGAGACTGGGGTGTTCAATTCCCACCAGTTAATGGGACCACCCCAGCCATGGGGACAAAGCTGAGTGCCACAGAACACCCAGGGTGGCAGGGTACTGTCCCTGAGCTGACACAGCTCCCCACATACCCCCAGGACTCGGCTGCACTGGGGGGGGCTGTTTGCAAGGTGCCCAGGTGCCAGCAATGGCTCTGGGAACCCTTGCATTCATCAGTCCCAAACCTCCACCCGTTAATGGCTCCCAGCCTGGAGAAGCTCATTACCTTTGGTGGCCCCAGCAGCTCCCAGGTGGTAAATGGCCCCCAGAATGAGCCAGAAGGCTTTCTGCTCATCACTTGAGATGCCCATCACCTTCATGGCTGCCAGGAGCTTGCTGAACTGCTGGGTCGCCTTCTGCTTTTCCTCTGGCTGTGGGAAACAACAGGAGCCATCAGTCTGGGAGCCCGGCTCTGCCTCCCCCTGCACTCAAATGGGCCAGAGATCCCCGTCCCTCCCACACTCCCCCATGGCAGCGACCTTGGAGGGGGGCACAATGCCGAAGACGTTGTTCTCTGCGAGGTGGTTGAAGTGAAGCTCAGTCCTGCGGGGATAAACACCATGATTGGCTCCATGTGGAAGACCCCAGAGACCCCCATGGGCTGGGGGCTGTGCCCTCGCCCCCCAGCTCACCGCAGGGTGCTGTCGGAGCAGGCCAGCAGGTAGTAGAAGATGTTGAAGGTGGCCTCTTTGGCCGGGCGCCTGGCCACACGCAGCTTCTCCAGCAGCAGTGTCTGGAGGAGGTGGGAGAGACAGGAACTGTCCCCAAGTGCCCCACTCCAACTGAGACCCTCCAGACCACCCTGGTCTCATCCTTGCTGCCTGCCCAGGGTCCTCACAGAAATGTGAGGGTCTCCCTCCCACCACAGGGCACCACATGAATGCAACCTTCAAATAGCTCACAAGCATCTGCTCTCTGGTGAATACTACTACAGTAGCATGGACCAGCTCTCTTGGACTTTAAGGGCTCTGCTGTCATCACACCAGAGAGGCATCTGGAAGACAGTCCCCCCGATTTTGGGACTAACTCAGCAGGGACAGAGAGCCCATCTGACCTAGGTGTGAACAAGGACAAGAGAAAGATGCCAGGCTGCTGAGTGCTGCAAGCATGGCTGGGCAGCTGGTGGAGGTCTGCAGCAGAGCTTGCAGCATAGGAAACACCATGAGAATCATAGAGCACTGGAATGGTTTGGGTTGGAAGGGACCCTAAAGTTCAACAAGTTCCAAACCCCCGCCATGGGCAGGAACACCGTCCACTAAACCAGGTTCCTCCACGTCCTGTCCAACCTAGCCTTGAACACTTTCCAGGGGTGACAGGGGCATCCACAGCTTCTTTGGGCAACATCCCGGTGAGGACAGACCGACTCCCGCACTGAGGGAAGCCACACTGGCTCCCATGCCGGGGGGGCCATCCCGGCCCCCTCACCTGTACGGAGGCAGATGCCACCTGCCCAGCCTGGTCGAAGTCCAGAGAGATGATCTGGGAGAAGCGGGTGGCGTTGCCGTTCATGCTGGTGCTGCTATTGCCAAAAGCCTCCAGGATGGTGTAGAGAGCCTGCCACTTCTCCGCTGCAGGAAGAGAAGCAGGGCGGTGGGGTGCAGGGGCTGTGCGGCGGGCGGGCAGCTGGAGCCGGCACTGCCGGTGCTGCTGCTCCCGTGCCATGCTCCGCACCATGGCAGCCCTCAAGAGTGCGGCAAAGGCACCAGCGTGAGGCAGTGACAGCCCATGTGGTGCGTGTCCAGCCGCTGCCAGGTGCGGGGGGCTGTGAGTGCAAAGCAAGGGGCGTGCGCAGGCGGCACACGGGGACCCGGCAACCTGCTGGGGACTCACCGGAGAAGACCTTGCCGGTGCTGCCGGCGATGGTGGCGAGGTACTGGACCAGGTGCTGGCAGTTGGTGGTCTTGCCGCTGCCGCTGGCACCCAGCAGCACAACGGCCTGGTCCTGACGGCTCATCAGCATGCTGCGGTACGCGGCCTGGGCCACCGCGTAGATGTGCGGGGACGTGTCCTCCCTGCGGCACCCCTTGAACATGTGCATGACCTGGTGGGGACAGGGCAGGTGAGAGGGCGAGGGTCAGCACCCTGCCACCCCACAGCTCCCTCTGCACGATGCCACAGCTCTCAGCCGCCTGTCCCCTCTGGTGTGCCCCCCACAGCACGGTCACCTTCTCAGAGTACATGGAGGGGGAGCTCAGCGGGTTGATGATGACCATGGTGGGCCCGGCGTAGGTGTGCAGGAGGTTGCCGCCATAGCGCTGCCGCAGCGTGTGCAGCACGCTGGACTCGTTGAGGTAGAGGAGGCTGGCGAGGTCCTCCACGCGGTCGCACGATGGGGGGTTCGCCTGGCAGCGAGGTCGAGGGGGGCGTCAGGCTGGGAACGGGGATCTGCCCCACCGTCCCCCCGCCCCGCAGCCCTACCTTCTCCACGTCATCCTCCTCCACCTCCAGGATGGCTCCATCGTGGTCCAGTTTCACCTTCACCTTGCCCTCGGGCAGGGGACTGCCCGCCTCTGGCTGCAGCTGGCTGCCTGTGAGGGGCACAGGGCACTCAGTGGGGCCGTGCTGGCAGCCCCCTGGGGAGACTGCATGGGGGATGTGCCGTGGGAAGGACAGGGCATGCCATGTCCCAGCAGTGCCCCTGACTCACCCAAGGAGAAGCCATCCCTGTGCACCAGCCACACCTTCTCAGTCTCGTACCAGGCCTCCTCAGCCGCTATCTGCTCCTCTGATTTGGCCTGTGGAACAGCAGGATGTGGAGTGGTTGTGGTCACCTGCCCCTGCTCTGTCTTTCCCCCTCCCCACATCCCTGGGGCTGGAGGGAGCAGGCTGACTGGCCACGGGGCCTCATGCTGGCCAGCCACAGCCATTCTTCACAAGTGTTCCCAGCCCCAGTTCCCATTTGCCCACTGTCTCCAGGGACCCCAGTGGGATCGGGGCTGCAGAGACCACCAGGGCCCTGCTACAGCTCAGGGCAGACATAAAGCCAAGTGACCCACAGGCTCATTCACCACAGCCACCTTGGGCAAGCCTGGAGAGGCTGAGCTCCCAAACCACAGCCCTGAGACAGGGCACCCATTCCAGCCATGTGTCAGGATGCAGGGACACTGAGTATGCTGTGGGGACATGGGACATGCTGCAGGGACATGCTGTAGGACACAAAGGACACACTGCAGGCACATAACGTGGGGACACAGGACATGGCACAGGACCACAGAATGGAAAATGCCGAGCTGGTGTAGCCGGCACCCGAGAGCAGGATAAGCCCTAAAGCCAAACCTGAGCTGCGGCAGGGACGGGGCCAAGGGGAGCTGCCGGCGCATCGTCCACTGGACCCTGGCAAGGCCGAGAGACAGGGCTGAAGGTGAGAAGGGCTCAGCCCTGCCCCGCAAACAGCACGGAAAGCGGCGAGGGGAGCGAGCAGGGGCAAAGCGCCACCTGGCCACACCCTGTGAGCACTCCTGGTGCCATGGTCACTGCTGTGGACAGCGGGGTGGCATGTCCAGCACTGTGCTGGAGACACATGGAGCCGGGAAGGATGTTGGCCATGAGGCCATGCTGCCAAAGCCCTGGGGGTTGGGGGTCACTGCACTGACCCGCTCCGAGCTCTGCCAGCACTGCGCTGCTTCGCCACAAGCCATGCGTCCTGCCTGTGCCAGTGCTCTGCCCCTTCACATCCTGCTCCATGCCCCTGCCTGCCCCAGCTGTGCCACGTCCACCAAGAGCACCCCCCTGGGATGCCCAGCTTCCCAGCATGGCCCCGCTGGGGAGAGGCACCCAGCCCCGGCTGCCCTGGCACCCTCCAGCCCCGTGGGTGCCGTGGCAGCCCACAGAGCAGGGTGGGATGGGAAAGCCTTACGCTCCAGCACGAGGCGCGGGCGCAGACGCCAGCCCAGCGGGACACAGAGGATGGCGGGGGGTCGCTGATGGAGGCAGAGGGTTCCTGAGGACGGGGGTACAGTACCTGGCTGGGTGCCGAGGCAGAGGCGGCGGGGTCCAGCTAACGGCAGCAAGGAAGCAGAAGAGAAAGAAGAGAAGGGTTGAGAGGCAGAGAGCAGAAGCGGCACCCTGACAGGCCACAGGGCCCTGGCACGGTCACGATTCATGTGGCACCACCAGGACATCATCCATCCCAGCCACCACAGTGTGCCTGGGCTCCCACGGGGATGCCAGCATTTCCCCACCCCCGGGCACACTGGTCTGGGCAGTGATCTCCAAACCCACCAACAGCCCTGGTTATCCATCCCCTGCTGCCACCCAGATCATGGGGTTGGCAGCCAGGCACAGGGGTACAGTCACCATGTGCAGAGCACACGGCATGCCCAGGGCAGCCACACGGTGCCCATGCCTGCCCATCCTTGGGAAGGCAACACGCAAGCACCAACACCCCTGGAATTACAGAAGTAGTGAAGATCCTCTCCAGTCGGAGCTGTGCTTCCTCAGATGGGCTCAGCTGGGACGCAGGGCCGGGGGCAGCCTGGAGGCAGAGCACCATTAGCCCCAGGCCGGCCACCCCACAGCCCCTGCAGCCCTGGCACGTGGGCATCAGCACAGCCATTGCAAAGGCTTCCCCAGCCCTGCAGCCCAGCAGGGTGAAGGTGCTGACACTGGCACAGCTGGGGTACCAGCAGGTACCCACAGTGCCTGGGGACCTGGGTCCCCACTCCTACACACCTGCTTGGGGGGCGTCGGGGCGGTTTTCACAGGGGTCGGCCGCTTCTCGCTGGTCTGCTGCTTCTTCTCCATATGAAATGGAGGGGAGACAAGGGCCAGTGTGATGGGGTTGCCACAGCACACACCACTGCCCCAAAAAAGTGACCCCCACCCGCACCACACACCCCAAAACCACTGCAAACCATGCAGGTGAGCTCACACCATGCTGAGCCGGGGGCACAACCCGCTGCCGGGTTAGAGCATCCCCCGCCGTGCACACACCGGTACCTTGTGCCTCTCCAGGGCGGTGGGTTTCAGAGCAGATGCCTTTGCTGGCTCCGCTTTCCCTCCCGAAGGCTGCACCAGCAGCTCCGGCTTGGCTTCGGTGCCCGGGGACAGGGACGGCTTCGCGTCCCCACCGGCCGGCTCGGGGGACTTCTCCTGCCTGTCCCCCGGCCGGAGCCGCGGCCGGTGCTCCTTGGTTTTGCCCTTCGCCATGAGGGTTTTGAGCCCTGCTGAGATCTCATCCTTGGGTTCCGGTTTGGCAGGGGCTGCCGGCACCACAGCGGGGGGAGGTGGTGGTGGGGCCGGGGGAGCCGGGACACCCGCACGGCCTGTCTCCTCCTTCCTGGGGGGTGGCACTGGCTCGGGAGACTTGGCATCTTGCCCTGGCTCCTTGGCACTGCCAGCGTCCTCCCCTGGCAGGACTTTGCGGACCACCTTGCGCACCACCCGGACCACCCTGCGGCGGGACAGGCCCTGGCTGTTGTCCTCCTGTGCCTCAGTAGCCGGGCCCTCCAGCCCATTCATGGCCGCCCCGTTCAGCACCGGCTCTGGGCTCTTCCCTCTTCCAGCAGGTGGCTCAGGGCTCTTCGCAGGCTGAGGTTTTGGGGGCTCAGATTTCGGGGGTTCAGGTTTTGAGGGCTCAGGTTTCGGGGGTGCAGATGCCACATCCTTCGTGCTCTCTGACTGCAGCCACAACGACACTGGTGTGAGTGGAGGTCCAGCCACGGACCCTCTGCTTGGGACATGGTGGTGCCCGAGGCTCTGTGCCCTGCCACGGAGCACAACTCCTGGCCAGACCCCGGCACTGGGGGACACAGCTTCCAGTCCCCTTCCCCAGCCAACCAACAGCTCCCCATCAGACCCCAGAGCAGGGAGCAGTGGTGACCTACCTTCCCCACACACAGGGACCCATCAACCCTCAGGCTGCCAGTACAGGGGTAAAACTCAGTGCTGAGGGCATCACTGAACCCATGACCCTCCATGGTGTCCCCAACCCTGGCATGGGGTCTGTTCCCACCAGGGGTGAGCCCCATCCCTAACACAACTCCACCCTGCCCATGCCCTGTGACACTTACAGGCCCGTCCTCCTTCACGGGTCTTTTCACAGCTAAAGATTTGTCCTCGTCCTTGACCTGAGGGTCAGACAAACAAGAGGAGCACGTTTCAGCCCACTGTGAGGCCTTGCTGCCAGAAAACTCACCAGGACCATCACTCCATGCCAGCCCCAATCTGCAGCCCATTGCAGGGAAAAGGATGCATGTCCTTCCAGGCTTCCCATCAGCCAAAACAACAGGAGGAAGCGCAGAGATACACCCCAGTTATGGTAAACCCCAAAGGTGGGAGAGGTACATGCTCTGCCTGCCTGGCCTGGGCCGTCTCATCACGTGCAGTCAGTGAGTGAGCTGGTACAGAGGCCCATTACTGCTCCCACAGGGCTCTATCCTTCTGCAAGTCACTCCCCAGGCGTCACAGCACATTTTAAGTGACACCAGCTAATCTCTGCAGCAGCCGCACATGGGGTGTGCCAGCTCCCTGCCGAGCGGGGTGACCAGGGGGCTCTGGGGGGTGGATGGTCAAACCCTGTCCTGAGCTGTGTCTCTGAGTGCCAGGACTCAGCTTCACACTGCGGTGCATCCCGTGGGATTGCCATCACACAGCTCCTGGGTGGCTGGTGGCACTGGGGTGGCTCATGCCGTGTTAGGGGCTGCACCAGCCACTCGCAAAGCGGTTAGTGATGGTGTTAGTGATCGCATGCGTGGCCGCGTCGGTGACTCCGCTCCAAGCTCCCCGTTTGCTCAGCATGGCCCCCAGCACAGCAGCACAGTGAGGCCAGGAGTGCTGCTCCAAACATGGTGCCAGCGCTGGGCAAACTGAGGGAACCGGTCAGCAGCGTGACCCGAATGTGGGGCGCAGGCAAACATGCGAGAGAGACTTCCCTTCTGCTCCCAGAACGCAAACCGGGATGAGAACGCCATGGTGATGTCTCATGGAGCTGCAGCCCTGGCTGGGGAGAGAGGCAGAGGTGAGATGGGCTGGGGACAGCACACAGAAAGCCAAACCATGGCACAGTCTACAGGGATGTGTCCTTCCCTACTTGGGATCCTCAGGAATAGGGGTCTGAGCCCACCTGGCCTTGCTCAGCGTACAAACAGTGCCCACAGGAGGGGCTCTGGGGACAGGTAGGTGACCAATCTGACACCTGACAAAACTCATTCTGCAAAAAAAGCCCCTTCAGTCAGGCCTCAGGATCACGCCCCCATTCCCCTGAGCAGGCCAGCCTGCTGTAGTAAGCAAATGCCAGGGTGAGGGAAGGGATATTTTCTACCCCAGCTCTCTGCTTGCCCTGACAGTCAGGGTTTATTCTGAGCCTGACCCCGTGCCAATAGCCGGGCAGTCCTGATGGGACCCACTGCCCTGGCTGGCACCCACTCTCCAACCCAAAGGGGTTGTGCCTGGGACCATTGGGGAGAAATCCCCCTCCCAGGGCCAGGCACCATTTGGAGGAGCACCCGGCCGCCAAACCAACCCGTCTGTCTGGGCACACACCGACTTGTCCCTGAGGGATCCCCTGTACCCCATCCCCCTCACCACAGTGATACACCAGTGCCAGGAGCACAGGCTGAACACGGGGGTCCAGAAACAAACCTGCCTATGGGCCAGAGCTCCCAAATCCTCTGCTTCCACTTCCAGGCAGCCTGGCACCCCAAAGATCCCCAGAGAGCACCAGCGTTGGAGTCCCCAAAACAAACAACCCCCGGCCACCAAAGCGCCCCGGGGGTGGGTTTGGCCTCGCAGCCCCCAATCCCAGTGCCAGGACTGTCTCCCACGTGCCCCCCTCGTGCTCCCCCAAGCTGTGCTGGCCACGCTGGGGGTCCCCACCTTACCAGAGGGAGCCAGGAGCGGGGTTTCCGCCGGGGCGAGCGCAGTACAGCACGGTGGGAGAGGCACTAGCGGGGCGGCAGCCGCAGCACGGGGACAGCTGGGCTGATAGGGCCACCCTAAAAATAGCCGAGGAATGCGAGGGCCCCGCCGGCGCACGCAGCAGCCGGAGGGAGAGCTGGGGGGGACACGCGGGCAGTGGGGCCTCACCACCACCACCGTCACCGCCGCCACTGCCAGAGGAAGTGATGTGGGCTCTGCCGCGGGGGGAACTGCCCAGCCTCCGTCCACTGTCCGCCCGGAGGGAGTGGGGGAAGACACCCCCGGACTGACTGCAGCTGTGGAGCTGGAGGAGCCAGGGAGAGTTCTGTGCCACAAGGGACGGGGTTGCACGCTCCTGCAGCCCGGGGTGCCGTGGCAGGGTGCCCAGTGTTGGAGCAGTGTGCCTGGTGTCGTGCCAGGCGGCGCAGCCCTGACACTTCTTGCTCCTCCTTTGCCTTTCCCATGAACACAACAGCCTCCCCCAAAATGCTGCTGGGGATGGAGAGCACCCCGGCACGGCGCAGCAGTCCGTGGTAAAGACACTTTCATGGCAAAGCCACCTCTGGAAGTCCAAGGTCTCCCTGGAAAGAGCAGGAGCGGGGTGGTGGGCAAGGGGCCAGGGGTCGGGGGCCTCCCTGCGCGGGGGCTGCTGGGAGGAGGCCGGCAGCAGGGAGCCAGGCACGCCCGCATGGAGGGGCAGCGGTGACCGCTTGGGCACGGGCACAATGGGGACCCCAGCAGGCACCTGAGCAGGTCCAGGACAAACCAAACCGACACAGATGTGCCCTGAGCCAAAAAACATTCCCCGGAGAAGCAGGAGGTCCTGGCCTGACTGGGACAGCTGTGCCAATGGCAGGCTGGAAATCTCCATGCTGGGAATGCCAGCACTAGGCCACATCCCTCCCACAGGACTGGCACGCCGTGCTGCACAAGGGACAGGCCACAGCAAACACCCTCGGCAGGGATGGCACAGCACAGCTGAGAGTGCCTGTAGTGATACCAGTGTCCCTAGGTAGTGTGGGCAAGGAGGCACCAGCAGGGAGGAGCCCACCTCCCACAGACCACCTCCACCAGCATGCCCAGCCCGGCCATTTGGTGATAAGGCATTTCTGCCTGGCCAGGATATTCCTCTCATTCTCCTTTAGGAAGTTTGTCAGAGACACACTGGCCTATAGCTGAGCCCACTGGATACAAGCCCCCTCCCCAGGACCCCTTGGGACCCTCCCCACATTGGGGCATCCCAGCAGCACCAACCCTGCAGTGAGGACAGAAAAAGAGCCAAACCAAGAACTTCCCAAGCATGGAAAAATGGAGACAGCACCTCCAGCACAACAAGAGTCCCACATCCCCACCCCAGTGCAACATGGGGCACCCAGCCATGCCAGAGCAGAGTGGCCTTGCACTCTGGGGACAGCAACCTCCAGGAACCTGGGTGCCCAAGGACAGTGGGCACGCATGGTACGCAGGGTCCACCACCGCAGCCGCTGGATGCCTGTGGTCCTGCTGAAGCACTGGAGTGGTCAGAGGCATTTCTGGAATATTTCTGCTGGGCCGGCGCATGCCTGGGCCCTGCCTGAGGAATTTCACTGGTAAATAAATAAATACAGGCGTGGAGCTGAGCCAGCCTGGCTCCCCTACACCAGGAGCAAGGTTGGGACATGGAGGGGGTTACACCCGGTCCCTGATGCCCAGCCACGCCGTGCCACCGGCTGGCCCCCCCATGCACCTCACAGGACCAACAACCCCCCAGGACACAGCGGGTGCTCCCCTTGCCCAGCCAGTTTCATGGGGACAAGGGTGACTCAGCACAGACCCAGTGAGGGGGTTAAACCCCCCATGGTACACAGAGAACCCGGTACCGTCTCACTCCAGCCAGGGAGGGGCTTCCACAGCAACAGCCCAAAATATGTCTATAATTTCCTGTTTCAAAAAGGATCATTTTTATTTAAATTAGGACCAGAAACATTCCAGGGAGCTTAGTGGAGCCTGGGGGAGAGTTGGGCCTCCCTGTGTGCCGGCACCTTGCATGAGGGACCCCCAACCGTGCCCAGCACCCCTACCTGTGCTCCCCAGCACCAGCAAAGGTGTGGTGCATCCCTCTGATGCATCACACAGGAGGAGAACAGCATCCTGCACCAGGACGTGCCCAAGCTGCAGTGGCAACCAACGATGCCCCACGACAGTCAATGCCAGCCCTCCAGTCAGCTCCCACCGGCTGATGCCGTCAAACCACACCGTGTCCCGGCACAAGGCCGCACACTGCAGCCTCTTCCCTGCAGCCCCAAGGGCGCCGGCATCTCCTCTTCCCCTTCCCAGCCCAGCACCACACTCCTGGCAGGCACAAGCGCCTCGCTGGCCCCCATGTGCTGGCATCCAACGCACACCTGCCTCCACACCAAGGTCTGCAGCACGGGCACAGCCGTGCCCCGCCGGCCCCGCGGGGTTATCCGGCCAGGGGTTATCCCTGCAGCACCGCCGGCACAGCCCGGTGACGCCTGCCGGGCTCCGGGGAGGAGTTGTCGGGAAGCCACTGTTCCAGCTTGGCGCAGACTCCACCCCGCAGTGGCGGCATCTGCTCGAGGAGCACATGGAGCCCCTTGGCCACCCTTACTCCATCCTGGCCACCATCCTGTGGGCACGGGGCCCTGCCATGCTCAGCATAGCCCTCCCCGGTGCGGGCAACCTGCTCCACACCCTCCTACCTTAAGGAAGGCCTAAAAATACACTGAACGAGCCCAGTTACACACACTACACAACGTCACACTGCCGCACCCCCTGCCACCACAGAGGGGGCTCAGCTTTGCAGGCTGTCGGTGTTTGGGGGCCTCTGCCAGGGTGCTGGGTGGCCGGGACACTGACTAGCCCGCGGCAGGGTCAGCAGTGCCGGGCAGCAGGAGTGAGGGATGTGGGTCACCCAGCCATTAAGTTTCTATTTATACCACAGCAGCAGCAGCAGCCGTGCACGCAGGGCTGCACTCGCCGGCAGCAGCTCCCGGCTCCTGGCACACTGTGTGCCTGCCCCAGTCCCCGGGGAGGATCCCAGTTGAGGGAGGCCAATGTGGGCAACGGAGCAGGCAGTGTCGTCCTGCAAAGCAGCATTTGGAACTTCCTGGCAGTGAGGAGCAAAGCTCCCTTCCCTGCTGGACAGTGCTTCCTCAGCAAAGAGATGGGGACAGACATTCCCTGGCAACGCAGAGTGGGGCTTTCCTACAGCCCCTCTGGCAGGAGAAAGACCAAACCCAACAGCACACTGAGCATTTTGAGGGGCAAAATCCACCAGTGACGGTTTGTAAGACCTCATTAGGCTGCACCCCAGCCACAGCCTCCCACTCCTCTGTGCATTCTCCTGTCCAGAGCAGCCTCAGCACTTGCTGGTTCCCACAGCTCCTGCCAACCCAAACACCCCCGCAAGGACGCTGGCATTGGCAGAACCCAGGCCCCAGCAGCACCCACGGCAAGGACAGCGTTACTCACATCCCAGGCAGCACGGCGTGTCCCCTGGCCGCCCCGCAGCCAGCACCGGCTCAGCTCGCTCAGCTCCAGGATGGGCTGCACCTTCAGCTGCACCGTCTCCCCTGACTGCCGGATCATCTCCACGATCTCATCCCGGGATTTGTTCTCCACGTTTAGCCCGTTGATTTCCACCAGCCGGTCCCCCGGCACCAATCCCAACGCCAAGTCTTTGGTGCCGGCTCCGGGCTCGGCGAAGTGCACGACGCGCCGGTACACCTGCCCATCAGGCCCCCGGTCCAGCATGGTGGTGCGGCGCAGGGAGAAGCCGAAATCGCCGGTGTTGCGCCTCTGCAGCTCCAGCTGCCGTGGGGTGGGGGGCTGGGGGGGCACCAAGGCGGGCAGCCGCAGCTCGGTGGGGAACCTCTTGCCGATGAGCTCTGGCACCCTGGCACGCAAGGAGGTGGTAGGAGGGGTGCAGGGCTGTCCAGGGGGAACCCCTTGCTTGTCAAGTGGGGTCTCCAGCGTGCGCACCTCCACCTGCGGGGAGGGGGCTGCCGAGTGCTCGGAGGGGGTGGAGGTCTCCGAGGTGCTCTCATCCCGGCTTTTCTGGGAGAAGGAGAAGCGTTTGACGATCACCTGGGAGTTCTGCTTGGCCAAGGAGCCAAACTTGGCCGCCCGCTGCAGCACCGAGCCCTTGAAGTTGCCATCGTCCACCTTGAGATCGTCACTGGAGCTGGCTGTGCTCAGGTGGCCCGAGTCCAAGATGACACTGCCCCGGTTGCTGTCGGAGTCAATGTCCGTGAGGTGCAGTTCAGAGCCACTGGCCACCTTGATGGGGATGGGGTTGGAGATCTCCAGGCGGGTCTTGGAGTCCCGTTTGGAGGCACGGTTGAGGTTGAAGAAGCCCCTGCGCATGCTCATCTCTTCCAGGCTCTTGAGCTCAGCTGCTGACATTCGCTCCTTCTTCTCCTTCTTTTTCTCCTTCCGGGCCCCATCCTTCTCTTTGTCTTTCTTCATCAGGTTGAACATGGTGGAGGGGGGCTTGGGGCACTCTTGCCCCCGTGGCAGGGTGCTGGGTCAGGGTGCTGGTCACGGCACAGCCGCCTGCACAGGACAGAGAGGCAAGGGTGCCATCAGACAGTAGCATGGTCAACACCCACTCACCACCCCTCAATCCACCCCACTGGTCACCCCAGCTGCCATCCCAAGCCCACGGGGTCATGTCCCAGCGTTTCCACCCTCCCTGGGGACAGCAGCACCACAGTGCTGAGACTGCCCCAGTCATTGTATTCTCACCCCAGCTGGGCACAAAGTCCCAGGGATGCAACAAGGGTGGCCCTGCACCCACAGGGATGTCCCAAAAGAAGCCCAAAAGCCTTGCATCCCTGTGTATCCCCCTGCCAGCACCAGGGTTGACTGCAGGTAAGACCCCCAGCACCTCCTGCAGCTCAGGAGCCGTTTCAGAGCAGCATGGGTGAGCAGCAAGGAACACATTCTGATTGCTTTTCCTGCCAGCACGGATACTCCCCAGGGTAAAACCCCCCATCCCAGCCAGCCACAGCACCACCAGCATCCTGCCTGCCGTTCAAAAGCCCCTTGTTGAGGAAACAGAGGCTCCTCTGCTACTCATCCTGGCCCTGGCCACCACAAACTGCAAGGGAGAGCCGCGGGCAGGGAGGGAGCCGGAAACATGGCCTGGAGCGAAGGTTGCTCTAATAAACAGGAACCTGTAAAATCACATCCCTCCCAACACTGATAAGTGTCTAATTTTAGCCAGGGCGACGTAGAAAATTGTGACGCCGACGGCGACCTCCAGGAACAGTCTCTCTTTTATTCGGGCATCCCGCGCAGGGCGGGGGGAGCACCCAGCCAGTGGGAAAACTGTGGTTGGGCAGAAAACCCAGCTCCTTCCTGGAAAACCCCACGTGCACCCAGTGCCTGGGAGCACCCACAGCCTCACCCCACACGGGGTGCTATGGGACCCGTCTGCCCCTGGGGTAACTGGTAGCCCCTCCCTCCCCCAAGCTCCATCGAGTGCTCGGGATGAGGATAAACAATTCCAAAGTGGAACGAGCGGCTGGCAGCGTCCACGGGATGGGCTGACAGCTATATATAACAGGTCAGGAAGCCACACAGGAACTTAACCTCAGCACAAAGGACAACAGGAAAACTCCCCACGTTTGAAGCATCTGCTTTACAGTTCTCTGACGGGCGTGGGGGTGAGGTTTGGGTGGCCACAGGGATGGGTAGCACTGCCCATGATGGCAGCCCAGGTTCTGCAGGCATCCTGGGGTGCATGGATGTGCTGTGCCATGCCAAGCTGCACCTTGGCTCCAGCACAGCATCAGTACTGCATCACCATCACTGCCTGGACCATCTCCCTGCAAGGGCACACAGTCCCCATTGCCCTTGAATGCACTCAGTGGGACACTGGGGAACTTAGTTTCCCCTTGGCAAAGCCACACGGGGATGGCAGGAAACTGCCTGAACACTGCTGCTCCTCGGGGCTGGGGCAGGAGCACACAAGCTCGGGAGAGGCCTGGCCACAGGGCAGGTGAAGACAGAGCTCTGCAAGCCATGGCACAGTGCTGGCCCCGAGCATGTGATGCTGCCGAGGCAGTGAGGGGAAGCAGCCGGAGGGACAAAGTTGAGTATGCAGCTCTGAGGCTCCTGGCCATGTCCAGAGCAGCTGCCATGACACCACCCAGCCCCGAGGCTCTGATTGTTCTGCCCTCCCTGCAGCACCTGGGGCTTTACCCAGACAAACAGAGGGACCTGGCCAGAGCAGGACCACAAAATTCATAAAAACAACCCAGTTCCTTTCTCCTCTCCCAGAACTGCTGGCTGCGAGGTGACCACTGACCCGAGTCAGGGGACAGCACAGATCCTTCCCACGACCCACAGCAGGTGCTGCTGTGAAGGGCCCTGTGGCTCTGCCATCACAGGGGCTGCTCCCCACCAGCTCCTCCATGGCTCTGCCAGGGCCCCAGGGCAGACAACGGCAGGGGGGGAACCACCTGCGCCTGTCCCTGTCCCCACACCGTGACACGTGCCACTGGTGCCACAGTTGCCTGGACATCCCTGAAGCTGTAGAAAGGGCTGTACCCCCAGGAGCACTCTGAGTTCACCCCATGGCAGGGACGGGGCTGTTGGGACCCTTCCCGGGGATCCCCTGGGAGCAGAGCTGCTCACCAGGCAGGTGCTGCTTAGAGCTGAGGCACCGGGAGACAGGCGGCCAGCGCGCTCTTTGTCCTCGGCGGTTTCTCTCCCGGCACACACGCTGCCTCCCAGCCTTTGTATGCTCAACAAAAAGGGGGAACAGCCTTCCCAGCCGCATCACTAATCAGGCAGCACCGGCAGCCGCTGGCGTAGCCACGTGTGCCCCACACAGGGCCACAATGGGCAGGAGCAGGGCAAGGGGGACAGGAACGCCGGCACCCCCCCTGCACTGGTGCCCCCAGTCGATGTAGAATGCCCTTGTGGTTTGTCCCCTTTTCCCCAAGGAGGTTCCCGCCATGGGGATGCTGGATGGGTGCAGCCCAATGCCGTGAGAAGGAGGTGGCTGCTGAGCGTCTCCTTGCTCTTGATTCAGACCCAACACACCTTCCCTGACTCAGCCCAGGCTCGCTCTGGGACTCTTCATGGCCAGGCGTGTTTGGGGCAGCGTGTATGAGCCATGACAGGGGAGGGAGAGGCACCCGCCGGCGCCAGCTGTGCTCTGGGATCGCACGCAAGGATGCTGCTGTGACACCCAGGCTGGCAAGGGATTCTGGATGTCACTTCGGAAGGGCCAAGAGGCGAAAAAGGAGACCCAGCTTGAGGTTCCCCAACCCAGTAGCCCTCCCCGAGCCTCTCAAGCAGAAGCTCGGGGGGGATGCACCTTCTCCCTTGTCCCCCCACCATGACCATGAGCCCCCACATCCCTGCCAGGGCGCCGGGGAGTTCCAGGCAGGGAGGAAGGCGTTCACTGAAACTCCAGGCCACTCCTTCCCTCCCTGAGACGCAATCTCATCCGACACGCTCCCGCGCAGGGACCTGCACTGCAAGTTTCACAGTCGCCTGCCCTCCCCGCTCTGCTCCCCAATGCAGTGTTGGCTGTAGGGCCCTGCTCACCCACTGCTTCAGAACAGGAGCTGGTGGCCATCACCTCCTTGGACACACCGTGTTGGGGTGTCCCACATCCCCGCTGTACCTGGCTAGGCAGGCACAACGCTGTGCCAGGGAGCAGGAGCTGCTGCCATCGCTGCCAAGCAGCCAGGCCAGCTCCCACACAGAGGAAAGGGGGCTGATCTGCGTGATGGCTCCTTGCTGGACACAAGTTTTCCACAGAACAAGGAAATTTAGGGAGTTTCCAAATCCCTCTGCACTGCCTGCCCTTACAGACAACGCTGGGATGTGTCAGGAGGAAAACAATACCAGATATACCTGAGTCACAGCCAAGATGTGCCACCAGGCTGTCACCAAAGCGGGATATTGGGCCCTCCTGCCACAGGAACCCAGTGTCCAACAGCAAAGGGGACCCAGACCAGCTGTGAGGTGTCCCCATGGGCCAGGAGGGTGCACAGGGTGTGTGAGGGGGGTTCAAGCACCCACCTTGCCCCAAAGCTGGGCAATGACGCTGGGCAATGACACAGCTCAAGAGGCCTTACAGGGCAAAGGTGGTGGGGCGGGATCTCAGCTATGCTGACAGGTGGGAGACAGTTCAAAGAGCAGCCAGGGGTTAGGTGGCTTAGCTGCCCCCACACCACCTTGCACAGGTCTCCCCCACCACCTGTTTCTGGCCCCAAATTCACAGCCTGACACCCAGCACAGCCCAGCCCACAGCAAAGGTGAAGGGCTGAGCCCCGGCTCGTCAGTGGGCAAAGTCCAGGGCTGGTGCAAGTGCTATGGGAATGCTCGGCACCCAGCAGGGACGGGGTGGTGGGTGGGGATCCCCCAGTGCCAGGGTGCCAGGGTCAGCCTTGGGGTGCAGGAACACACTGCCCTGCACCCACACTTTCCTGTAATTGACCTAAGTTTAGCTTTGGCACTCATTGACCAGACAATTTGCATCTCACAGGCTGGCTGGAAACCACACAATTTAGGGATACGTGTCCTAGCCCTCGCCCGACGCTCCATATATTCCTCTCTGGGGAAATTAACAGGCACCAGGGTGGCCACAGACCTGTGAGCCCCCCCTGTCCTCAGCACAGCAGTCTCCTGAGGGGCCACCCACCCCTGTCACCCCAAAAAGGTGCCTGCGGCCCCAGCACTGATGTGGTTAATGGTGAGCTGCGCTAATGGCTTTGGATACAATTCCCTGGCGGTGTGGGAAAGGTCCTGGCCAGCGGGTTCTGCCTGGAAGCAGGACTGGCCCTGGGGAGCCCTGCAGTGGGTACTGAGGTCTCCCAACACGAGGCACCTGACATGAATAATCCTGCAGGGACAGACTGGCTGTACCCACGGAGGGTCCCTACCCACTCTGGAGGGGCACAGCCGCCCCCACAGCACCCACAGCTGCGTGCACACACCTCCAGCACACCCGGCACGGGTGGGACACGCACAGGTGCCGCAAAACAAGGAGGGGGTGGGCCTGTGGGCATGGGGACACAGAGGGACACAACACACAAAACACGCCCCACAGCGCAGCAGGGGCACGCACAAGGTGACACACACATGCAGACATGCACACGCGTGACTCCGGGGGCTGCACACCCACAGGCGCTGCACGACAAGTGCGGGCCATGCGCACACCCGCACCCCGCAACCGGGGGGGTGACACCGGAGGGCCCGCACACACCCACTCACACACACCCACACCCACCCACGGTGGTTCTGCAACGCCGCGGAGGCGCGGGCGCGGGCACGAGCAGCGGGCACGAGCACGGTGCACGGCCCGGCCCGGCCCGGCCCGCCGCGGGGGGCG